CCATCCATGCTGTCACACAAGGTAAAACTTTCTCCTTTTTTGTGACCAAGTAGTATTTCATTGTATAAATGTCCCATAGAAGTTTTATCCACTCATTTACTGATGGACACTTGGGCTGCTTCCAAATATTGGTGATTATAAATATCACTGCAATCAACATAGGGGTGCTTATGTTCTTTTGGATTAGGGTTTTGGGTTCCTTCCAATATATTTCCAGAAATGGGATCACTGAATCAAGAGGCTGATCCATTTTTAATTTTTCGAGGCATCTCTGTACTGCTTTCCACCATGGCTTCACCAGTCTGCATTCCCACCAGAATTGCAAAATGGTTCCCCTTTGTCCTATCCTCACCAAATTCAACATTATTTGTCATTATTTTATTTATTCAATTTTTGTTTACAATATCTACATACTTTGTTACTCACAATTTTTTATATTTATAGTTCTTTCTTATATGATAATGTTCTTCCATTCTGTAGACACAGCTTTACTTTATTTCAATCCTGATTTTTTTATGTTTTTTCCTCAAATGTGCCTAAATAAGTGTTCCCAAATATTTTTTCTGCATAGAATTTATTGTACCAGTGAATCTGAAGATGAGCATCTTTCATTAATTCTGAAAAATCCTAAGCCTTTATCTTTTCAAATAGTGTTTCTTCCTTATTTTCTCATAGTATTCTTCTGGTAGTCCAATTATATTTTTATCAGTCTAATAACAATTATAAGACTTTTATTACTCTATTCTTCAACTCCTTAATCATGTTGCTGATGTATGGTATTCCTATAATGACTTTTATCTAATTTCCTCAGTTATATCATTATAAAGTCTAGAAGCAATCATTCCAATATCAGCAATCTCTGTGGAACTTATTTTTTTTTAACACAATACTCACTAATGGTGCCTTATTTATCTCTGTGTTTTATGATTTATGTGTTTGTATGTGATGGAGTAGTATAATACAGCTACCTTGGAAGTTTACCTGTAGAAATACTTGAGCATGCATTTATTTAGAGAGATCAATGACCAGTAATTGCTTCTGCCAGGTGTTAAACCAGGAAAAGTTTAAATTATTGTCGTGTGTTCCTTGGACCATGCAGATGATATACTCTGAGATGAAAACATTTATAATAAATTGCTTGTCATTTTAGGGAGAATTTTTTTCCCTCCCACTCAGGATAGTGGTGGAATTAGATGATAGTTTTTGCTTTTTGCATGTTTGCTTTTTTTCCCTATTTTTATACTTGTAGTTTGAGTGTAGCACTTAAGAATGTATAGCTTTATGCAAAAGTCTCTGTTCTTATTTCATTATATGTGTGGGTGAAAGATATTAGCTTGTGTCATTCAAAACAATCAGAACAATAAATTACATATACAGGATCATCATATGTCTCAGAGAAACTCTATGTTATGCTCTTATCTCCATGTTATCATTCCTATTTAGTTTGTCTTATCAGCCTTTCCTCTCTTTGACATTTCAACTAGTGTGATACACACACACATACACACACATATAGTGTGTGTGTGCAATAGCAAATAATAGAGTAATATATCATATATAAACATATATGCCTTTAACAATTTACTCAGAATTCTTGAAGTCCTAGAACCAGGGTGTATGTCAAACTAATCCATTTACTATTTTATGGTATGTACCAGCATCAATATTTTATTTACAGACAATGCATGTATGCATAATCTATAGTTCTGCCATATCTGGGCTACTGTACTTACAAAGTGTCCCCACCAGCAAACTGAAGAAAGTACATAAAATATGTAAGAAAAAAATTCTAAGATATTAAAAATAGCTCATTAAAGACTACGATCACTGAGTGAAAGGAAACAAAAAGGGTGACCCCTTTTGCTTTCTGCCTTGGGGCATTTTTCAGGCTTTGAGGCAGTGAAAGGGAATCCAAATAAAACACAACAGTATCACTGATTAAGGAGAAACTTCTTGGTATACAAGGAGCCTGTTGAAGGTGGATTTTATGTAAGAGTATTATACAATAAGGAGGTAGGTATATTTTCATCTTTAGAAATCCGCATTAATCTTCTTTGATTTTTATAAACAAATATGTAGCTGGGTGATTACAAAATAAAATTCCATGAAGCTTGCATCTATGTTTATGAGTGAGATTAATCTGAATTTTTATTCCATATAGTGTCTATAAATGGTTATTATTTAAAAGCTGTGATTCATAAAATGTTTCAGAGCATCCTCTTTTTACCTCACGTTGATTTAATTTGGACATATATCTAGACTTAATGCTTATTTTATGTCAATATTTTAAATTCATTTTGTAATTTTTATACTTGGCAGGGAATTCTTATTTTAAGGCCTACTGTAGGTAAATGCATGTTTGTAGAATGAAGAGTAAAATTATTTATACATCACCACTCTTTAATTTCTGCTCCATCAGCATTTATGACCACTTTTTATTTTTCATGATTTTAAATTGGTTTATTATAAATTTTGATCAATGATTCCATTGATATTTATTTTGTATTTATAAAGAATCAAGTTTTTGTATTCTCTCCTTTTTCCCTCTTATATCACATTAGTTTCAGATTACCTATTTTTTCAATTTTTTTTTCTAGATTTTCAGTTTATTCTGATTGCTTTCTCTAACTTCACAAATTAGATATTTAGCTCTTTGATACATGGCCTTTTTTTCTTACTTATAGAAGCATTTATGTCTATACATTTCTTATTAATGTTAGCATTAGCTGCATTCCGTATTTTAATAGTGTTTTCATTCACTTTTAATTAGCTTATAATTTCATTACTATTTCTACTTTGACATTTTATTTTTATAGAAATTTCTTTTAATATTTCCAATTGCAGTTTTATTATTTAAGGTTTTGTTATTTTAAGGTTTTTACAGTCAGTTTATACAGCTTCAACATTTTAAATAAGTTCATTTCATAATTTCTCTTCCTAAAAATGCAAGTTTATTCAAAGATTTTAACTTCAGTTTTCATGATTTATCTCCTTTTGTATTAGAGAACTTTCATTCTTTTTATTATATTAATGCCATAAATTTATAGTTAGTGTTTTTTTTTTTAATATTCTATTTATTTATTTTTAAAGAGAGGGAAGGGACAGAGAAAAAGAGGTAGAGAAACATCAATGCGTAGTTGCTTCTTGTGAGCCCCCAACTGGGGACCTGGCCCATGACCCAGGCATGTGGCCTGACTGAGAATTGAACCAGTGACCTCTGTTTCACAGGTTGGCACCCAATCCACTGAGCCACACCAGCCAGGGTGATATAGTGTGCTTTTAAATTTATCTCCATTTTCACAATTTTTTTAATGTTCAGTATTTCTTTTTACACTATATATACCTTATTCTGGGATTATTTCTATATGACCTCATTTAATTGCATTAATTTTTTTTGTGATTGCCTATTGACAGTAAATACTTTCATTCATTGTCAGAAAATATTTTTGCCTTACCATCTTTTATTTAAATATTTTTTGAGTATATATAATTTCAAATTGACAGTAATGTTTTCTAGGTCTTTGAAAATATCATTCCACTATCTTCTGGTTCCCTAGTGGTTTGACTAAGTTACCTGTAAACAGAGATATGCTATATAACTAGATCTCTCTAATAACTATAAAAATAAAATAAACTATATCAAGTGGTTTATCATGTTTGATAATTTTAATGGCTTTAATTCTAGCTAGCAATATGATACTCCTGAACACTGTGTTGGGAAAATATGTGCAAAATAGGATTTTTTTTTTGCATGAATGGTTTCATTTCATTCAGGCTAATTTTTTTAGTATAGCCTTTTATTTTTTTATTTGTTCCCTCTCCTGATCTTTTTCCACTTGTATCACCTCTTATTGAATTCTTCTCTTCTAACTTGTGTAAACCCAATGATGTATAGCTTTCTGTACTTTCCTTCAACTGATTACAATCATAAGAAAATGTTGTATATGTATATGTATATACATATACATAATAATGTGCTAACATACATATATATGGGAAAGCAGCACTGTTTTGTTTGCTTAAAAATGAATTTATTACAAAAATTTCTTTAAATTTTACATTTTTCTTCCAATAATATTTTAGAAAAATAACATGAAATTAATATAAAGAAATTTATGTATGCATAATTAATTCAACAATTTCTTTATGATGACCATTAAATATTTCTGGTAATTTACCCTTAACAAGAGGAGGTTATAAATATCCTTTAAAGTAAAAGCAAACAAACAAAAAGTAAGTAGTGGTGTTGATTTTTAATATTCCAACTGGCAATAGGGGCCCTAAGTTTAGAGTGCTTTAAATAAATAGTGATTTTTGTTCACATCTCTCCTCTTTGCAAAAGACAACAGCTCCATCCTGTTTCACTGCCTCATCAAGTAACAGCAGAGAGCTGTATTGCATTCTATTGTGCTAGTTAAACACCAACTGAGTGGAAGACTACATATGCATATACACATAGTCTGTGGACACAGGTAATAATCTGGTGAAGGCTAGGGTGGGGAGGGAAAATGGGGGACATCTGTAATAGTGTCAACAATAAAAAACAGATTTTGATGATCCCTAAAAGCATGGTAGCATCCCTTCTTAATTCCCCTCCCCTCCCTGAACTTTTCCTCATGAGTCTGTCTCTCCTCAGTCTTAGATCTATCAAAAATATCTAAGCCACTTGATTAAAATGAAGATTCCAGGGACTCTACTAAGTCAAACAGTGGACATGAGGCTCAAGCACCTCCTTTATCACAAACTCCAAAAAGTTGATACAGCCTCAACATATACCCCGAAGGATTTCTCAAAAGAAAACAATTGAAGAGGTTCATGGGACAGGAAAGATGAAATACAACCACTTAAAAAGATTCACTCCTTTGACCAGAAAGCACTGTGGTACCAACAAAAATGAACTAAAACCCAAAATACCATATCACTTCTATCAAAAAAAAAAAAATGCTGGAGCCCATGGGAAGATTTCACCTTTATTCAGTGCTCCCATGATCTGACACTTCAAGCTGTTCCTTGTGCTTTGAATTCTTTAAAAGCATCTTCTCTGAACAACATATGTCCCAAACTCCATGAACTCTGCAGAAGTGATCCACATCTGTTTGAAACTGCTCAGAGAGGTCATGATAGATGCACCTATCCATGCAGAGAAACACCTATCAGGAGAAGCTGTGATCTTGATGGGAGTTCCTCTGGAAGCCAGCTGTTCCAATTCTTTCATAAGTCTTTCTTCAAGCCCAGGGAAGAGAGTAGTGCCTCCAGACAGTACAATTTCTGCAAAGAGATTCTTCTGGATGTCTTTGTCACACTTCATAATGCTGCTGGTAACCATATTTGGGAGCCCTGGGCTATAGATGCCCAGATGGTGAGGTGTGAAAAGAACCTCAGGCACCTGGTACAGCTGTTCCCCAATGTAGAAGACATTCCCATCTGGCAGTTGGTAGTTTTTCAGGATCTCCTCTGACCTCTTATACAGCTCTTTGTCTGGATCCATGGCCACGTAGCACAGCTTCTCTTTGATGTCATTAACTAAGTCCTTGTTGAGTATGTAAGGGGAAATATTCCCACTAGCGAGGAGTAGCTGGGTGAGGTGCTCTGTAAGGTCTCCTCCTGCCACATGGAGCTTGGTAACAGCATGAGGCAAGGAGTAACCCTCAAAGATTGGGACAGTGCAAGTGACTCCTTCCCCACTGTCCAGCACAAGGCCCGTGACAGAGGCAGAAGCATAGAGTGCTGCTACTGCATGGTTGGACAGGTAGAAGGCAGGCACATTGAAGGTCTCAAACATAACTTCTGCCATCTTCTCTCGAGTCTCTCTTGGGTTCAAGGAGGGCTCGGTCATGAGTACAGGCTGTTGACAGGATTTTACTCCCAGTTCCCACTCAAACAGATATTTCCAAAGTTTCTCCATGTCTTCCCATCCCGTTACCAGTCCACGCTCAATGGGGTAGTGCAAATTCAAAGCCTCATACTTGTATAAGGCATTTTCCCCCACAACATACTTTTTCTGATAGGGTAGTGATAAAGGCATGTTAACTTGAGGATGCCCCACAACAGATCTGATGACACGACGGGGTACAGTCTCTCCAGACAGGCCTGCTTTACAGAGTCCCGATCCATTGTCAAAAATTACAGCTGGGATATCTAATATGTACGGGTTAAACATGTCTGCAGAATGTTCTGAACTTCACCAAAATAAAGGACACTGGGTCACTGGGTGAAGTAATAGGCACCTCTGAAAGTTCTAAAGCCACAGGATTCCAATGTTCTCAGGGTGTCACTCAGGTGAAGCTAGCAGGCTGCCTCCAATACCCCAGAACATCCCATCCTCAACCCATGAATCTTGTTTTAAGGCAGCCCAGAGCCTGCAGAGGGTATTTCACTGATGATTATCCCTATGTAATAATGTAGTCATGGCAACAGTTGTGCTAGGGAGCATCAGAGAGATTTAAAGGGGGTGGGGCCCCTAAGTTGCTGTTATATCTGTACTACTAGTGTGAAGCAGAAGTAGGCAAACCATATCTAAGGACAGCTTTGATAACTCTGTAAACCTGAAGCAAAGTTCTACTCTTAGAACCAAGTGAGTAAGCCCAGCTGTGGGCTTGTAAAAACAAACAACCAAACAAACAAACAAAAAACCTGACTTCTATGCTCAGCTGAACTGCTGTTTGTGGGATAATAAAAATATCCTTCTCTCTGCTATGGGGAGGAACTAAACATGAGACATGTTCACATTAGAAAGAAAATGCTCATAATCCAGTTCCAGAGGTACTTATACTTATTTTCTTGTTTTTAACAGCTTTATTGAGGTAAAATTCACACATAATACATTCACCCATTTATAGTGTGTATTTCCAAGATTTTCAGTATATTCACTGATATGAGCAAATACCATAAAAGTCAAATTTAGAACATTTTCTTCACCTCGAAAAGAAACCTTTTTCTCTAGCTGTCACCCTTTTTAGACCACCCTCTTATGAGCTTTAAATGCATATGTTTTTGTCTCTCTAGACCTATCTTCTCTGTCTTTTTAATATAAATGAAATAATAATCTGTGGCCTTTTGTATCTGGCTTCATTCATTTAGCATATTGGCTTGAAGGTTCTTCCATTGTTTGGTTGTAATGCATTTTGTCTACAGTTTATCACTGTTCACATTATTTATTTATAATCTCTATTTTTGTAAGGCTGGTATAAGATCCTCTCTACTTGTTTAAACTTTTTAAAAGACACTGCTTTAGGTTTTGATTTATTTATTATTTTTCTATTCTCTATTTCAATAATTTCTGAACTTTTTTTAATGATTTCATTCTTTCTACTTGCTTTAGTTTGCTCTTCTTTTTCCAGTGTGACAAGTTAAAAGGTGGAGCTATAGATGAAATCCTTTTTTTATGTAGACTGAGAAGGTTTATTTTATTTGTCAACATGGATACTCTATTTTGCTCAGTTGTTTGTTCAAACACTACTCTAGCTGTTACTGTGAAAGGATTTTGTAGATGCTATTAACATTTAAAATAATTGACTTAAATAAAGGATATTAACATGCATTATGTGGGTGAGTCTCATCCAAACAATTTAAGGCCTTTAGAGTAAAAATTAAAGATTCCTGGAAAAGAAGGAATTCTGTCTCAAGACTATAACACAGAAAACATGCCTGAGTTTCCAGCCTGATGCCCTGCCTTATAGATTTGAGATTCAAGGCTGTAACATTGTAACAGTTTAAGCTATGTGGCAACTTGACTAATGGAAGGCCAGCTACCTTGTAGAACATAATTTCTAAGTGGATAAATGAGTGTATATCTGATAGAGATTAGCATTTGAATCCATAGATTGAGTCAAGATCAGCCTCACTAATACAATTGGACATTACTCAAAATATTGAAGGCCTTAATTATAGAACACAAAGATGGGAAGGGAAATTTACTCTGAAAATAAGTGACTCTGAGACACTCATCTTCTTCCATCTTTGAAAGTCAGATATGGGCACTCAAACTTCTTGGTCCTTGAGACTTAGACCAGGACTTTCACCATGGACTGTCCTGGTTCTCAGGTATTTGAGTGGACTGGAACTATATCATTAGCTTTCCTAGGCCTTCAGGTTACAGATGATACTTGATAGGACTTCTCAGTGGCCATAAATACATGAGCAAACCCCTCAAGATAAATCTCTGTCTATATCTCTGTTTACCAATTTTCTTGATTTTGTTTCTTTAGAGAACCTTGACTAATAAAAACATAAACTCATTTTTTCTAGCTTTTTCTGAGGAATACTTAATATAGAATAATGCAAATATTTAATGTATACATTTTGATGAATTTGGTAACATGTATACACCTGTGATATCATTACCACAATCAAAGTAAAATCATATTCATCACCTCCAAAAGATTCAGTGTCCTCCTTTTGTTTGCATGTATGGCTGTGTGTTGTGTGTGTGCATGTGTATGTTAAGACCACTTACCATGGAGAATCAAGATGGTGGAGGAGTGAGTGGAAGTCACACTGACCACCTCGTAGGACCAACCTGGAAATACAACTAAATTGTGGAGAAATCACCTGGAACAAACAAGTGAACAATAGCGAGAGAGAAGCTTTATAACTTTAGTGACAGAAGAATCAACTTTAGTGCAATCTAACTGGTAAGGAGTGTGGTGGAGGCTCAAGAAGGTTGGTGGGGCATGCACAGGTGGCAACACCAGAAGGGGCCAGGTGGATTCCCCTGAGAAGAGTGGGCTATGAACCAAAATCAGTGATCTCCAGCCTATAGCACCAGAGCCCAAAAGGTACAGAAGAAACAGCTAGCTATGAAAAGTGGCAGGGTTGCTCTCTGACAGAGACAGGTGGCTGGAGATGCAAAGAGCCATTTTAAGGGCCAAAGTATACATTTGTATTGGCAGCCAATTACCCGGGTATCCAGCAAAGGTGATGGCAGAGTGTGCTGGAGACGCAAGAGGAGGCCTAGGGAATGAGGCTTTGGGGAGGGAACTGAGAGAGTGGCCGGCGGGATCCCAGTACTGACTCATCCCCCAGATGGCTGCAGCCGTCTTGCTCCAGCAGACCACTCCGCATGAGCAGCAGCAGTGTCAGAGAACCGAATAGCCATGTCCCCAGCTAGGATTCTCCGCTGCCCTATGGTGTCTAAGTCACCTGCTGAGTGCAGAGTAGCAGCCTAAATTGGTAAATCCCTGACTAAAGGGGGCACAGAGTGGTCTGGAGACACTTGAGGAGAGACTGGGGATGGAGGCTTTGGGGAGAGAATGTAGAGAGTAGCCAGCAGGATCCCAGTGATGACCCCACCCCATTATGGCTGCAGCCATCTTGTTCAGGCAGAGACCATGTGCAGCAGCAGTTTGAGAGAACCTAATAACCAAGCACCCAGGAGGGAATCTGTCCCACCCTGAGGTGTATAAGCTGGCCTGCTGAGTGCAGAATGACTAGATTAACAGCTGAAGGAGACAGTAGAGTCTACAGATAGTAGATTCCTGGAAATCTCAAACAGACTGCCTAAGGTCAGACAGGGACAATATCTGACATCATCAGAGGCAGATGCAGAAAGAAAAAACAGCGGTCTCCTACCATAGAAGTTCATACCACAAAGTCCAGAAATCAAGACAGATCAATTTAAGAAGGAGAAGCAAAAAAAGAAGAGTCTCACAAATAATGGGAAAACAAAGAAGTACCCCCAACTCAAAGGGAAAGGAGGAATCCTCACAAAGAGAACTAAATGAAATAGAGGCAAGGAAACTATCAGATACTGAGTTCCAAACAATGGTTCTAAGGAAGCTAGATGAGCTCAGTGAGCTAAGAGAGAATTGCCAAGAACTACAGGAAAGCTGCGAAGAACTTACTGCAAACTATATCAGCATGAAAAAGAACATAGAAAATATCAATAAGACACAAGAGGAAATGAAGAATACAATTTTGGAATTGAAGAACACAGTAGAAGGAATCCAAAGCAGGCTCGATGAAGCTTAGGACTGAATCAGCAAGCTGGAGGACACAGTAGAAAAAGGCTACAAGAAAGATCAAGAAAATGAAAAAAAGACTCAAAAAGAATGAAGAAGCATTTAGGGAACTACAGGACAACCTGAAATGAAATAATATGCAAATAATAAGGATACAAGAAAGAAAAGAGGATGAGGAAGGGATAGAGAACCTGTTTGAAAAGGTAATGATGGAAAAGTTCCCTCATTGGAGGAGAGAAAAAGTCACACAAGTCCAGGAAGCACACAGGGTGCCATTCAAGAGGAACGCAATGAGGCCCACTCCAAGACACATCATCATTAACATGGCAAATATCAAAGACAAACAGAGAACCCTAAAGCAAGCAAGGGAGAAAGAGGTAGTAACATATAAAGGAGCTCCAATACAGCTAGCAGCTGAATTCTCATCAGAAGCACTGAAAGCTAGAAAGGAATGGTAAGAAATATTCCAAGTCAAGAAAAGCCAAGGCCTGCAACCAAGACTGCACTACCTAGCAAGGCTCTCAATTAAAATGGAAGGCGAAATGAGGAGTTTCACAGACGAAAGAAGGCTAAAAGAATACACCTCCACCAAACCAGCACTGCAAAATATGCTAAAGGGACTGTTTTAAGATGAATAAAAAGTTTCTATGAATACCCAGTTCCTTTCAGAGTTGCCAATGCTTGATATTAACAATATTTTTTATACTCATTAATCTGATTGTGACAATGATGTTATTTTAATTGTTTCTTTACTATTAATTGAATCTAAACCTGTTTTAGTATATTTTTTGCCTATTTATATTTTTTAAAAAAAGATTTAAATGACTTATTGGTATACTTTATCCATTTATTGATTAAAGGTTTGTAGAACATTTTTCCCTAAAAAAACAAAAAAACAAAAAAGAAAAAACCTATTAACTGTGTTTTAGATGTGTTGCAAATACCTTTCTATTCCTTGTCTTTTAAATTTTTTATATGTATATTACTATATAGTTAAATGTTTAACATGGTCATATTGTCAATATTTACTTTATAGCTTCTGGGTTTGAATATTTTACTTCAAGTCATGAAAAAAATAGTTCTACTTTCTTCTAAAACTACTTAGATTCCACATATTCATTTTTAACTCACCTGAATATTTCTTGTATAATGTGTGAAATAGGGCTCTATATTTGTTTTATTTCAAGTAATAGTGGTCCAT